GCCCACGCCACGGCCATCCGCTCGAGCTGTTCTGCCGCACCGAGGGCCGCTGCGTGTGCAGCGCGTGCACCGTGTTCGAGTGTCGCCTCCACGAGCGGGCGTTGCTGGACGCCGAGCGCCGCGAGCGCGAGGTGACGCTGCCGCCGCGGGGCGGGAGGGGCGGCTGGTGGCGGTTGACACCCTCAGAACTGGGAGTTAGCAGGGAGAATCCTTGGGCAGGTCTCAGGAGATGTCTTCGGGGTGTGTCAGGGGTGTTAGACAGTAACATCTCGTGTCTGCGTGTAGCAGGTGCTCAGTAAACATTCAGACAACAGCCGTTTTCTGAGCCCCTACTACATATGCAAGGGCCACATACTGGTAACTAACTCAGGAGGTCCTTGCCCTTAAGAGGCTTACAGTCTATCTAAAGGGTCAGACAAGCCCAGTAAAGACGCATGTGTTACTACAGACTGCAAGAGGAAAGCTCCCGGGGGTGCCATACAGACAACATGGACCTTACTTAGTGGGGGGCGGGAGGAGAGTAGGGTGGCATTTGAGCTGACAACTGAAGGCTCAGGAAGCGTCACCAGGAGCAGGACCAGGAAAGAAGATTTCAGACAGTGGATGTGTGAGGGCTCCGGAGTGGAAAAGAACCCGGCTCAGCGGGTCACCGGAGGCAGATACGTGAGACTCAAGGGCGGCAGGCAGGGGAGGAGATGGGGACCAGCGGAGGCCCCCCCGGGTCAGCAGGGGCCAGATCAGCAGGGGCCATGTGGCCACGGTGCGGCGTCTGGGTCTAAGGGTGGTGGGGAGCCACTGCAGGCTCTAGGCAGGGCTGCGAGGTGGTCAGATTCAGGCTTTAACTGGGTTGGTTGTCCAGGCTGGTGGAGCATGGATGGCAGGGCATAGGCGAGACTCTGAGGTCAGGTGGGTGTCCATGGCAGGAATGCAGGGAGACAGGCCAGACTGCACCAGGGTGACCGAGGAGGGATGAAAAAACAGATTCACAGCACCTTGGTGAAGTGGTACAAACAGGATGGACCAGGCATGGGGAGGTGAGAGGGCAGACCAGGGAGCCCCAGGTTTGGTGCTGTGTGTGAGAAGTGGGGCGAAGGGCAGAGTTTGTTTTGGGACAAGTTGGGGCTGGAGGTGCCTGGGGGACAAACAAGGGGTTGCAGCCATCTGAGTCCAGAGCTCAGAGGAGGTCCGAGCTGGGAGTAGAAACATGGGGTCATTAGCATATAGAGGGAAGAAGAGTCCTAGGAAGGGGTGGGTGGGTCACCTGCGGAGCAGGGAGAAAGAGGTGCAGCCCGGGCAGGGGCGTGCCAGCCAGCAGCTGGGGCAGAGGAGGCCCGGCCTGCCAGTGAAACCAGCAGGAGCTTTCAGTGAGATAGGAGGGATGCAAGAGTGGGTGGCACGGTCCCAGGAGATGGGGTTACAGGAGGAGAACATGGTTAGCATGCCTCACGCTGAGGAGATGTTGACTCCAAAAAACCAAAACCAAACCTGTTGCCGTCGAGTTGATTCCGACTGACTCACAGCGACCCTCTAGGACAGAGTGAAACTGCCCCATAGCATTTCCAAGGAGCATCTGGTGGATTCGAACTGCCGACCTTTTGGTTAACAGCTGAGTTCTTAACCACTGCGCCACCAGGGCTCCTAGATGTTGAGTAAGAGGACAGAAAACACCATCAGAGTTGGCACAGCGAGGTGATGGGTGTCCTTCACCCAGGCAGTTGCAGCCCAGAAAGGGGAGGTCCCTGCCCCAGGTAGGTCAGCCAGCCCTAGGCGGAAGTGGGGCTGGGAATCAGGTCTTCTCCCAGGGTTACACCGGGGCTGTCAGCCTCAGCTGGGATGGCACAGGGAGGGGGCGCCTACATCTACGGGTGTTTGTTGACTGACTGAAGGGGACTGTGCAGCAATCCTGCCCTCTCTCCTCTCCTCCCGTGGATGGGCACCGCAGGCCCAGCTGAGAGCCAGCCTGGAGGTGACCGCACAGCAGGCCACCCAGGCCAAGGCCCAGCTACAGGAGCTGCAGCAGCAAAGCAGCCAGATCCAGGTACAAGTACCCACTCTGTGTCCTTTGGGTAGCCACCACCGGCTGGCCCCTGGGACACTGGGCAGTCAGTGTGAGCCACCTTGAAAATGCCCCTGGCAGGAGGGATTGAGGGCTAAGCAGGAAGCTAGGACCCAGGAAGAGGTTCTAGGGACCCAGGCTCCCCACATCCCAATCCCCAGCCCAGCGGGCCACGCTGGCCCTGCCCACCCAGACTCCTCCTGTGCTCCCCAGAGCTCGGCCTGCACCCTGGCCACCAGGGTCTCCGGCAAGTTCAGCTGCCTCCTACAGGCCCTGGAGATGTGGCGGGCCTTGGCACTGAAGGGCATTGAGGCAGCTAAGGCCCAGGCACTGGCGAAAGCCCAGGATGAGAGGCAGCGGCTGCAGGACCACCTGGAGGCCCTGGCACACCATGACTGCAGCGTTCGGGACCTCCTGGGGCAGTTGGATGACAGGACCTTCCTCCAGGTAGGAGCCTCAGGGTGGTGGGTGGGGGAGCAGCTCCCTACCCCTGGCACCCAGTCTGACTGCAGCTGTCCCTGGCGTTCAGGAGTCACAGCTCCTGGTGCCCCCAGTGCCTCTTGGGCCACTGACCCCTCTGCAATGGGATGAAGACCAGCAGCTGGGGGGCCTGAAGGAGACACTGAGCAAGCTGGGTGGCCTCCTGCTGGAAGAGAGGGGCCACCCGGGGATGCCAGCTGAGGCTGCTGACTTGGGCCCCATGGGTAAGGCGACCGGGATCCCTCCCTACCCCTCTGGGCCCAGTTGCCCCTCCCACTAGGGGTGAGAGTGGGGTCAGGGCCCATCTTCCCTGTGACTCCCCTCTCCATCCATCCCCTACTGCTGCTTTGTCCCCTAGAGGCCCCAGGTCCCCTGACACCAGTCCCGAGTCCAGTGTGTCCACTGAGGAGAGAACTCTGGCAGAGTAAGGAGGTCTTGCACATGGGTGTGGGGGGGGTGCAACATGTGTTCGCACGTGTGTATGCATGTATGTGCATTGTGCAAAGAGCACATGCATGTGTGCATGTGTGCAGTGTCTTGTGTGCACATGTGTATGCATGCACACGCATTGTGTGTGCATATGTGTATGCACGTATGTGCGTTGTGCAAGGAGTGCATGTGCATATATGTGAGTGGGTGCACGCATGTGAGCACGTGTGCAGTGTCTTGTGTGCACATTTTTGCATGCACATGTGTGCATTGTGTGTGAACACGTGTGCGTGTGTGCTGTGAGTGTGTACATGTGCACTGTGCACATATGAGTACGTGAGGGTCGCACGTGCTGTGATTGTATTTGTCCAAAAGGACTTTCCTGCGTCTGGCCCCACCCCCCTGCACACCTGTTCTGGAGGTAAAAGATTCTGCCCCAGAAGTTGCAGCTCGGATTCAGTGCTGCATGGCGTCCAGTGCTCAGCACGCCGTGTGCCGGGCAGCCATTTCTCATTAAAAAAAACCCGTTACTGTCGAGTCGATTCCAACTCATAGCAACCCTATAGGACAGAGTAGAACTGCCCCATAGGGTTTCCAGGGAGCAGCCGGTGGATTCGAACTGCCAACATTTTGGTTAGCAGCCCAGCTCTTAACCACGGTGCCACCAGGGCCTTGGCAGCCGTTTAGCACTTGGTAAACGGCAGCTGTGGTGACCCCCAACCCCCACTGTGGACTGGATGTGCGCAGGCACCCTCACTCGCTTACCTCTCTCCGTCTCTCCCGCAGATTACCGCAACTTGACCTTCGACGCGGACAGTGCCAACCGCTACCTCCATCTGTTCCGCCAGAACCAGCAGGTGAAGCACTGCCACCAGGCGCGGGGCCAGGCCAGCCCAGGCAGCTTTGAGCTGTGGCAGGTGCAGTGCGCCCAGAGCTTCCAGTCCGGGCGGCACTACTGGGAGGTGCGTACCTCCAACCACTCGGTGACGCTGGGCGTCGCCTACCCAGAACTGGAGCGGCACAAGCGGGGGACCCACACGGACAACATCGGCCGTGGGCCCTGCTCCTGGGGGCTGTGTGTTCAAGAGGATGGCACCCAGGCCTGGCACAACGGGGAGGTCCAGCACCTGCCAGCGGTGTCTGGGCGGCTCCTGGGTGTGGATTTGGACCTGGCCTTAGGCCGCCTCACCTTCTATAGCCTGAAGCCCCACACCCAGCCCCTGCACACCTTCCATGCCGTCTTCAACCAGCCCCTCTACCCTGTCTTCTGGCTCCTCGAGGGTAGGTCCCTTACCCTGTGCCAACAGCCTGGGGCCAAGCTGCTTCCAGGCTCCCAGGAAGAGGCCTCAGGGCTCTGCTGAGACCCCCCTCGCCCCGTGCCAGGAAGGCATAGGATGGCTCTGGGCTGGAAACAGGTGCCACCATGCCTGTGTGCTTAAGAGCTGTCCCAGCCCCTGGGCTGAAGACCAAGGTCACAGCTATAACAGGACCAGCTGCTAGGCCAAAGACTGACTCAGGACCAGGCTGGGCCGCTTGGGAAGAGCCCCCAAACTGGAAAAATAAAAACAAAGCCATTGCTGTTAAGTCGATTTCGACTCATGGTGACCCCATATGTTACAGTGTGGAACTGCTCCATAGGGTTTTCTTGGCTGTAATTTTTATGGAAGTAGATCACCAGGCCTTTCTTCCATGGCACTGCTAGGTGGGTTTGAACTGCCCCAAACTGAAGTTGAGCTTAAACCCAGAGTTCACTTTTCTGGCCTCTTTGAAGGGGACAGGGACTAGGAAGGGAGTCAAATGGGAAGTCCCCGCCCCAACCAGAGCCCATTTCTGTGGACTGCCTGGGCCGTAGAGGCTGAAGTAGCCTCATACAGGAGAACATTTGCAGATGGGTACACACATACAGACTATGCGGACAGAGTCATATATATATCCCCAGTTTACCTCCCAGCAAGACAATGGGGCCAGGAGGAACAGGAGGTGTGTAGGGAGGTGGACTTTGAAAGATTCCTAGAGAAAATAAATCATTCACATCCGCTCTCCCTCCCTCCCTTTCTCTTTCTTTTTAAAACATTTTGGGATAGTTTACTCCCATCTTTTTCACTTTTATTTTATACAACCGTGTGATTGTAGTCTATAAACAATTTTATTTTCGGCATTTTTTTCTCAATGTAACAAACATTTTTCACATTATTAAAATTTTTCCCTGATTTTTTTTTTTGCGATATAGTCCTTCTAATGACTGTCATACTTTTTTTTACCCATTATTAGACATCTACGTTGTTTATTTTTGGCTATAAAAATACTGCTGTGATGAATATTTTGTCCATGCATATGGTATGTGCTCACAGGCTAAATGGCCTAAGTGGAATTACTCATTAGAAAAGTGAGCACTTCAAGATTTTTTTATGCAAAACGCTAAAACAAGCCAGCCCTGAGTCAGCCCATCACCTACCAGCCAAGTGACTTCAGGCGAGTTAGCATGGTGGTACCTCAGTTTCCCCATCATTCCTACCTCTTGGGCTGGTGGGGATTAAATGAAGTGATGTGTATGGCTGCCATGCCAGGCACAGTGCCAGTTCCTTAGTTTTGGTTGGTTTTTGCCGTGACAATGTGCTTCAGCGAAGTTCCCTGTACAGGTTGTTGCTCGTATTTCTGGAGGTAAGATTTCTAGAAGTAGGGTTGCTGAATCTAGGGAAGGTATAAATTTTGTACTTGAAATGTTCCACTTCTTGATCTGATTGTTGTCTGGCCCCAGCTGTCTCATGGGTCTGCTCCTCAGCCTCAGGGCTCTCCGTTTAAGGTGTAGGGCAGGACAGCTCGTTGGTGCAGCCTGGACAAGACTCCTAAGGTGGGGAACTCCCCAAACATGGAAAGGGGTTCTGACACCAGGAAGCGCAACACAACAACAGCCAGGAGGCACTTGGAGGCATTTGGAACCCCTGTTGAACACCTAGGAGGGAGAGGAAGCAGGTCTGGTCTGGACAGGTGGCCATCCTTGCTGGATATTCTGGCGTACAAATTCTAACCATCCAAATCCAAGGCCATGCCAGAGCATCCAAATGGCTGTTCTCACACTCTGCCTGGGAGGGAGAGAGGAGAACCACCCCCTTTCTGTTTCCATAGTGGGAGATGTTTGGGGTTATTTATTCTTCTGTGAATTTCCTTTTTCTATCACGTTGTTTGTCGCTTCTGTATTGTTCTGTGGGAGTGCTCTGTATTGTGACTATTAACCTTTATTTACACACGATGAGATGCTCCTGCCATTTTCATAGAGTGTGGTCTAGAGAAGTGCTTCTTGACCAGATGCAGGGGAAAGCACTTTAGAAGCTCTTGGGAAGCTCCTTCAGACTAAATTCACTGTCACACATGGTCTTGATAGAACTTCCTGTCTCCTCTCCAGGAAAAATGCACTAGTATAGAGGTGGAAAAAGCATGGACTTCGGGGTGTGGCATTTGTAAAGGGGATGTGGATTAGCCTATGGGTGTTTCCAGCATTTCTGCCCCATCCTCCAAACTCTTTTACAATTTCTGGGCTTCTGTGAGGCAGAATTAGGAGGATGGACACACTGAGACAGAAGAAGAATGGGGGAGGGTAGGAGAGACTTAAAAAGACAGGGCCCTCAAGGGCCAGTGGAGTTGGACGGAGTTGGGGTGGACACCAGAAGAGGTGAGAGGCTGCTAAGCAGCTGCTGAGTGGGAAGGGCTAGAGAGGAACAAAATGGTGACTGTAAGAAATGTGGCTTCAAGTAACCCCGGACCGAAAGCTAGAAGACAGTGGAGCCGTGCCTTCAAGATTCTGAGGGGAAAGGAGTCCATCCCAGAATTTCATACCCAACCAAACTGTCAATCGAGAATGAAGCCTGAATAAAGAGACCTGCAGACACTTCAGCATCCATTCTCAGGAAACTCCCAGAGGAAGTACTTTTCAAAAATGAAGAAATGAACCAATGAAAGAGAAGGAAGGCCTGGGATCCAAGAAACAGGAAATTCAGCACAAAAAGGAAGTGATAAAGTCTCCAGAAATACTAGCACAAACATCCACATAGATGTCCAAGGATTATAAGCATGTAGTTTACAGACGTGCAGGCAAATACTAAAAGAAACAGCTAAAAGAGTTGAAACTGTTCCATGGGAAGCAAGAATCTGGAGCAGGGTGGGGCATGAGACTGCTATTTTTTGTTATAAAAACAAAACAGAAAAAAAAAAAATCAGTTAAGTCTATTCTGTCTCATGGGAACCCCATGTATTTCAGAGTAGAACTGCACTCCATAGGGTGGTTTTTTTTTTTAATTTATTTTGTTTATTTTGTTCTTGCTCCATAGGATTTTCAAGGCTGTGACCTTTCAGAAACAGGTCATCAGGCCTTTCTTCTGAGATGCCTCTGGGTGGGTTTGAACTACCAGCCTTTAAGTTAATAGTCTTGTGCTCCAGTGCAGTGAATTACTTAATATGGTCCTTCTAGCTACGGTCTTTGTAACTCCCACCAAATGACTGGGTGGAGCTATGCAAATGAGGTGCTTGAGGCCCACCAAGGGGATTGGATAGCTTACTAATAATATAAAGTGCATGGCACCCTTGTGGGGGTGGGACTATGCAAATAAGGTGTATGGAACCCTAACAAGAGGATTGATTAGTTTTGCCATCCTGCTTAAAAGAGAGCCAGTTCTAAAGCAGAGGGAGACCTCACTACAATCAAAAAAGAAGAGCCAGGAGTGGAGCGTGTCCTGTGGACCGGAGGTCCCTGCACTAAGAACCCCCTAGACTTAGGAGACAGAGAGAGCTATAACACAGAAAAGAGACAGACAGAAGCAGCAGCAGAGAAATGACAGCAGCAGAGACAGCAAAACAGGAGACCGGCAAGAGACGGTGTGGTGAGCTTCTGAACCCACAGAGCAAGAAAGCTGAGCACCTTCGGGCAAAAGGCTTCCTGGCAGAGTGGGGCACCTCTGGGCACTTGTCGATGGAACTAGGCTTGCCAACCATGGAGCTAGAGAGCTGATCACCTTTGAGCCGAAGCTTACTGGTGGAATGGGGTACCTCTGGGTACTTATTGGTGGAGTTAAAGAGCTTTGTAACACTTGCTCAAGCAGGGTAGAGGCCGGGCCAGCCTAAGAGGCCCAAGGGGCCAAGGGCTAGAGAGAGGCCTGCCTGTTTGCCTGGATGAGAAGCTGTCTGTATCAAAGAACTGTATCCTTAGTCCTTCCTGATCCTGAATTGTAACCTGCTACTTCCCTAATAAACCCCATAACTGTGAGTATTGTCTGTGAGTTCTGCATGGCCATTGCAATGAATTATCGAACAGAGCAGAGAAGTAGAGAGTGCCGTGGGAGGGACAGCTGGTGTCAGAATTGGTAAAAAGGTTGGAGGGTGGAGCCATGTCTGACCTCCATCACATAGGAATTAGCCTTGGGCTATTGATCTTGATTCTCCTTCCTGCTTGTGAAGTTAGAGGAGGTCAGAAGCCCCGCTACACCACCATTTTTCCACATGCTTAACTGTTTGTGCCACCCAGGGACTCCTTGCTAAATTAACTTCTTTAATAGTCTAAATATATTATTTTGATATGCACAAAAAGTAAGTTTAGAAAAGCACATCAAAAGCATAAAGAAAAAGAAGTGCCACTCTGGGCCTTGGTTTAGATTCTCTTTCAGTTTCTTTCAGAGATGCAAATAAAGCTAGGAACCAAAGAAAACACTCAGGTGACTAACAAACATATAAAGGGATGCTTGTGAGCAGTAGCCATTAGAGAGATGCAGATCAGAACTACAATGAGATACCATCTCACCCCTGCAAAAGTGTCACTGATCAAAAAAACAGAAAACAACAAATGCTGGTGGGATTGTTAAATAGTACAACCACTAGGGAAAACAGTATGGCGCTTCCTCTAAAAGCTAGAAATAGAAATAGCATACAATCCAGCAATCCCACTCCTAGGTATATATCCTAGAGAAATAAGAGCCGTGACACAAATGGACATGCACACCCATGTTCACTGCAGATTACACACAATAGCAAAAAGATGGAAACAAACTAAGTGCCCATCAACAGAAAAATGGATAAACAAAATGTGGTTCATACAGCAGAATACTCTGCAACAATAAAGAATGATGAGCCCACGAAACGTCTTATAACATGGATGAATCTGGAGGACATTATGCTAATCACAAAAGGACAAATATTGTATGATACCACTTTTATAAAAAGTGAAGAATGGATTTACACACAGAAAGCAACTTTCTTTGATGGTTACCAGGGATGGGAGGAGGAGGGAGAGAGAATCACTAGATAGTAGACACATGTTAATTCTGGCGAAGGGAAAAGCAATACACAATACGGAGGAAGTCAGCACAACATGACCAAGGTAACTGAAGACACTGAGAGGTATGCAAGAATAAAGGACAACTACGGTAAATGCTATAACGTACACAATTCTGCAACAACAGTAATAACACAACAAATTTGTAAGTGGTTAGGTAGGTATGCATGCTATATAGGAGTGGGAGGGCATATGGTAGTACATGCGCGTGCATATATAGGTATAGTTGTGAGCATTTATTTATATGTGCTGCATCTATATTCATATGTATAATAGAGCACATAGAGGGCACAGGTATGGAAACCTCTTAGACATACCCAAACACCTTGTAGGACTGAGTTACCGGGCTTGAAGGCCAGGGACCATAGTCTCGGGGGACATCTAGGTCAATTGGCATAACATAGTTCATGAAGGTAATGTTCTACATCCTAGTTTGGTGAATAGCATCTGGGGCCTTAAAAGCTTGTGAGCAGCCATCCAAGATACAATAATTGGTCTCTTCCCATCTGGAGCAAAGGAGAGAGAAGGAAACCAAAGACTCAAGGAAGCAATTAGTCCACAAGACCAATGGCCCGCACGAACCGCGGCCTCCTGTAGACGGAGATCAGAAGAACTGGACAGTGCCCAGCTACCACTACCAA